TTATGTGTTTATATATATATACAGAATTTAAATGCGAATAATTCTTAAATATATACATGCATGCATAGGTATTTATATATACAAAATAATTACATACAGCACACACAAATATATTATGTCACACAGACTTTTATTTTGGATGCGATTGATCGCAATTAATTTGCACAGCCCTAATATATGTCATTTATAACAGACAGTCAAGTAAATCTTACTTAGAATTGTTTTTATTTAATGTATATTATTCAGACACTATATAATTATTTACTTAAATCATTGGGTTTTTTTTTTTTTTAACTCAAACACATTGTTTTTAGTATTGGTGTTTTTATGGTGTTTATTTACTTTAAAAAGTACCATATTTTCTATATAAATTATTCTTATTTTTATGTTTTATTTTTAAAAATTTTCGAACTACATTAAAATATGATTCCAATAAGTTCTTAGAGCTAAAACCTAAAGATGAAGTGACTTTGCTGTCTTATTTTAGAATGCTCTAAATGACAGTTTTGCCCATTCATTTCTATGGGTGCCCATTTTTGACCCAAATACAAGATTAAGGAGGGTTTTTTTCACCCACTTAACATCTCCAGGCAAGAGCTTCAGTATTATCTTTAATTAATCAAGTTCTTGTATTCAGCTGATTCAGAGTCAGCATAACTCGTCGCTGTCAGAGTTCTTGATCACTGATTGTGCATGTGATGTAAAGCCACAGTTTTTTAAAGCATTAATTAGACAGCATGTGTTAATGGTCCCGGAGGAGTCTTATATTAGGCCTTTTATTACTGCATACTGTATAATTATGCCACTGAAACTGCCTGAAGTTGTTAGTTTAATATAATGAACATTACTAATATTATACGTCACTGAATGACTGTTTATTCAGACGGTTTGTGGTTTGTACTGTAAGCAGATGATGGTCAGACTGGATTTAAGGGACTCACAATCTGGAGAAAATATCAATAACACACTTACACTTCCTCCTCAAGTTCCAAACTGTTTTACAGACCAATGTTTACTTATTAAAAATACACTTCTGAGTCAACCTTGTTCAATAAAACTCATGTTTATATGATTCATTAAAATTTTCATCCATACTCTGATTATTCACATCCAAATATTTCATATCTAATTTTTTTTTTCTTAAATATAAAAGCATATGTGTGTATTTATATATATAAAATAATTATACACAGTGCACCTACACATATTTATTTATTTATTACATTTATTTTTGATGCGATTAATCGTTTGACAGCCCTATTCTAGTATGCTCAAAAATCCTTTTTGATATATGGTCGAAAAACAGCAATATTTATGAAATATTGTAAAATCCAATTTATTCCTGTGATTTTCAGCATCATTACTCCAGTCTCCAAAGTCACATGATCCTTCAGAAATCCCTCTAATATGATGATTTGATGCTCAAGAAACATTTATTATCATTTGATAATAAGATAATTAATAAATAATATACTAATTAATAATTATTTATTATCAATATAAAAAAAAGCATTTATTAATCTTTAGTTGCATTATAACGCCATTTGTCTCTTGATTCATTGAATGCATCCTTGGAGAATAAAAGTAATCTCCCTCACCACAATAGGATAGTGTCCATATTTAAACATCCTAAAAATGTTTGGACATGCATGCACAATAATACATTAACATAATTTATGACACGCATCATGAAAATACCATGGGAGTGTGTTTGTACATAAATATAGTAATCATTCAGCTAAACTAAAAGGTTGGTGATATATCGGTCAATGACGCTCACTGGAGTGAATGCAATGTTTGAGTGTGTGTGTGTGTGTGGGAGATATAAATACAGTCTTCTGAACATGATCTGCTCATGGAGAAGTTGTGTGTTCTGTAATGTCAGATGTCCAGTCCTCATTTCCCCCCCGCTGAACTACTACAACTCCACACACACACAAATCTCATGTTGGATATGGCTCTGACAGAACAGCACACACAAACCAGGAACCGTCACATAACCGACACTCGCATCGCCTTCATTTAATATCCTATCGATTACAAACAAGGAAGCAAATGGATGTATGAAATGTCATCAGTTTCACTTTCACAAGCATACGTGTAAGCAAAACAGAGGCATATTTCGCTACAAACAGTTGATTGTCAGAGAGAAGCTAATTTTGCCCCAGTATGTCCTTGAGTCATGAGTCCAGACTGATCCGAGAGACTGTGTGTTGTAGGTCTCCGTCTAACCATCACATGAGCAAAGCTGAAACCTGGACTCATCAGAGATGTACATGAATCAGGCTGACCGTCTTTATTAAGAATGCATGACCCGAGCCGTAAACGAGGTGATCCTCGTGACAATCTTCCCCAAATCTGAGTGTTTTTTTTGCTCTATGCCACCAGATCCGGACCCTGTCACGACCAGCCCGATCTCCAGACCTGAACGCCACTGAAACCCTCGAGAATGTGATCAAGAGGAAGACGATGGACACAAGCATCGGACAGAGCCGAGCGGATTCAATATGTGTGGCAGGAGACGTCTCACAAAAGCAATGTGTAGAGACTAGAGGATAAGACGCATGAAAGCTGTGGTTCATGTGTGTGTATATTGTATATATATATATATATATATATATATATATGAAGAGTTCAGATGCAAAAGCCTCTAAATGCCATTTGAAATTTTCTTCTTTAATGATGATTTTTTATCAAACTTGTATATTTAAGTTCAGTAATTTGACTTAAATAACAATTAATAGGTAATTATCATTGCCTTTTAATCGAAATTACTGAACTTAAATATACAAGCTTGATAAAAATGATCATTCTAGAAGAAAATTTCAAATGGCACTTAGAGGCTTTTGCATCTGAACTCTTCATATATATATATATATATATATATATATATATATATATATACACACATATATACACATGCTTGTATATATTTAAGAAATATTTTCATGTATATACTGTATATAGATTTATATATAATTTATATGATATGTAAATATAAATATTTTATATATAAATAAAAGATTTTCTTAAAAATACATGCATGTGTATTTGTATATATATATCTAAAATAATTATACACAGTGCACCCACATATATTAGGCTATGTGAACACAAACTTTTATTTTGGATGTGATTAATCGCGATTAATCGTTTGACAGCCCTAATATATATCTCACAGACATGTATACATATATATATATATATATATATATATATGTATACATGAACATTATTTATTATAACATTTTTATTTAAATGAGCATTTTTATGTTTTTAATTTTAACAGTGACATTTTTGAAAATCAAGCATGAATAACAAAATCAATAAATTGCATCACTTTTTGGGGGGTTTTCTCTGCAGTGTTGTAACATAAGTCTACTCCCAAACATGATCAAAATAAATTTTCTTAATAAATGTAAGGGTTTTCTATCAAATGAGACCATGTACTTGATGAAAACTTTTTTACTAAAAGTTAGCCTTTACTTTTAATTATGCCACTTCATTCAAAATGCCTTCAGAGCGTAAGCGGATAAAAGTGACAGCCAACAGTGCTTCGATATAACTTAGATAAATGATTGGGATTGGTATTGGTCGATCATGATGACAAGAAATCAGTATCGCAAAAATCCCTAAAGTTAACAATAACAAATAAGGCGTTTTAATAACGGACTAAACCTTTCATTAAAGTGAAATAATTAAACCTAAACATAGGAGACTGATAAAAATGCTTATTTAAAAGAAAAATGTCAGATGGATCTTAGAAGTTATTTGTAGCTAGCTACACTGACAAAAAGAAAACACAAAGGTATATACTTTAAAACACTAAAGTACACTAGTTGTAGGACTACTTTTATTGTGTTTTTGTCGTTTTTTGAAAGTTCAAAACAGCTTATTCCGGTTATGGAAAAAGTACAGTGAACATTTGTCTGCGTTTCATAGATAAACAGGTTTGGATGTAGCCTACATGAGGGTGAATGAGTACACACTAAACAGTGACAGCACTTTCCTCTTTAGGTGGACGACTTAAAGACTCAAATTCATGACATCTGCTCACGATGGCAAGGTTGTTCACCCTGGTCACCTGAACCCGCACTCATGAGGATAAGGGCCAACAGCAGCAAACACTGAATACTACACCGCTTCGGGCCCGAGGAATGCCCTGGCTCTCAGCCATCAGGGCTGCTGGATTCCTTCTCTTACTCCAAGTTTCGTCCTGATCAATCACACACATCTCACATTGTCTGACTGCACTGCAAGTGTGTGAACTGTAGAGCAAGCATAAAAGACACTGCATCGCAGCATCATGCCTTTTCAACAACAAAAAGCTTCTTTGATAGCCTGAAATGACCTACATCTTGCACACACACACACACACACAAAATAAATTACAATGGAACAGACCAACGCGGTTGAAAAACATTTCAATTCAAAGAAGCATGTGGGATTTGCATTATCTGTTAATATACAACATATTTTAAACAAAGACACTGTAATATCTCTGAAGACATAATAAAACGCTATAAGTGAAAGCTAATTAATAGGCAATCGCGTGGCATTGCATAAATAACTTGCAGTTATTATAAGCTTTTTTTTTTAATAACATCTCCAAACATTTAAAATACAGAAAGCAATACAAAATCATCTTTAAGAAATACCAGAAGTTAAAACAGTGCATTTATGGCCTTCTTTCAGAGATATTACAATCTCAGCCACGCAGATACTCGTGATGCAAAACGCATCATATGTAGGCTAATTCTTATTTAAGAGGTGTTAATTAACATGGAGATTACAAATGACAGAACTGAGCTGATGGAGGCTCATGCATCATACGCGCAACTTGCGACATGTATAAACACCGCGGTGACGCGCACAGGGCTGTAACCTTTCACCTTTACTAACCCGTCTTAATGAGTGACGTGCACAGACTGTTCCTATCATAATCAATACTCCATCGACCCGTCCATACAATTAATCAAATGAAAATGTGCTTCACCTACCTTATAGGCTATATCTGTAGGCTACTGTATGATCCTGGATCAATGAGAAGAAACAATCACGTTCTTCCTCCAGTCATCCATTAAACGGGCTCAGCTGCGCATTTAATCCAATATAGTGCGTATGGTTATTATTCCAGAGCGTCAAGACGATGTTATACGTTTAAAAAATGTAAATGAACTTGCGACAGATGTACACAAACATGGCAGAGATACACAAATATCACACTGCCAAAACAAGCGAAACATTCATGGGCAGGAAGTGTCAGGTAGGCTCCTTTGATCTAATCGACAGGTCAACTGCCCAATCACACGCGTTAAACGAAGATACAAGCCCGCCCCCTAAGGAGCGCTAGCCAATCGCGATGAAGCACCGGGTCTATGTGAATTTGAAGTGCAGGTGCATCTGAACAGTAGCGATGTCTTACTCTGTCTGCTGATTTCCTGTAATTTAACACGCTAACATTTAATTAATCTTATTCTAATCTAAACTAAATCACAAGCTCAAAAAATAAAAAATTTGAACATTTTTATGACGCTATTTCGTTTAACTTTACAAGCATTCTTTAAAGATAAAAGCAAACGCTGTTCTGTCTGTGAAGTACTATCAATGTGATTTATTCTTTTCTTAGTACTTTTTAAATTATAATAATATATATGTGTATGTGTGTGTGTATTTATGTGATTTAATCTTTCCTTTATACTTTTTTCCCATTTTATTTATATATATTTATATATATATATATATATGTATATGTACAGTATATGTATATGAAGAGTTCAGATGCAAAAGCCTCTAAGTGCCATTTGAAATTTTCTTCTAAAATGATCATTTTTATCAAGATTGTATATTTAAGTTTTTTCACTTAAATGGCAATGAAGATTACCTATTAATTGTCATTTAAGTGAAATTACTGAACTTAAATATACAAGCTTGATAAAAATGATCATTTTAGAAGAAAATTTCAAATGGCACTTAGAGGCTTTTGCATCTGAACTCTTCATATATATATATATATATATATATATATATATATAAACATGACACAAGAAAAGTAAATGTAATGATCTTAATAGTTAAATAGTAATCTGTATGCATTGAGAGAGTTGAGTTGAGACTGCCATCTACTGTCCGACACCTGAAATAAAAAAAAAAAAGCATTGCAACTCAAACACAAAATGAATAATAATTATGGACACGATAGTTCTTTGTGCAACAAAACAGGATTTCCAGTACAAATAAAACATTTATTGCTAAACACATTTTTTGTACAAATCTCACAAAGTTTCACAAAGTTCTTCTATAAGAAGAAAACACAACAGAAGCATAAGTGGGAAATGAAGCCGCCCGGAAAGGAAACCTTTTCTGATTATTACAGATTATTATGACAATCCTGTTGAGGTAGTGATCCATCCAACATCATAAAGCCTTGCCTAATGATTACGAAAATTTGGTCACTGGAGAATAATATATATATATATTTATATAACCATTTCCAATTAATAACTCAAAAAGTTTCTGAAACAAACCAACATATAATCATATACATATTTACCAGATTACATAATGATCCAATAAAAGATCGATTTATTTTTATTTTTTTCACAAATATATCCTGTCTTGACTGACTTTAACAAACATAAAAGATGATCCTAACGTTACTGATTATTTATGGCCACATTTTCATCGGCGAGGCAAAAACCTTTACATGTTCTGTTTCTGCCTGTATGATTGTCACTTGTTTGTTCTGTTTGAGGCATATAGAAATTTGCATTCATAATAATAATAATAAAATAAAAACACTATTTACATACTGCAAATGAACAAAATCAAATGACAATTGCCAAAAAATAACATTTGAAACATTCTTAACACTTTCAGGTATAATTCAAAACTCTAAGAAAAGCCCTATTTATTAGCCTAGATCTAAAACTATAATAAAATGAGCTTACATTTTGTTCTAATCCATGCTCATTTGTGTGTTAAAACTACTAAATACCACAGCATCTGAGGTATTGGTGTAACAGTTCAATCACAAACAGACCGTAATACCAAACTACTGAAAAGCAGACATCCATTCATGGCACATTCTGTACATTAGATTATTAAAACAATACGAGAAAACACACAACTGTCTTTCTGTTTTACAGCCCTTTGTTTTTTGTGCTCTTTTGGAAATGTTTTTGTGAAGATTTGTTGTTCTGATATTTACAAGTGGCTGTGTTCAAATTTGCATTCTTAAATCCACTTCAGTATACCGTAAATACAGATGAATGTCCTGATCACATTTCACCCCCGAAAGAAATAAATCATTAACGGCAAAACAATAAAAAGTTATATTTTGCATAAAGACTATTAAGTCTATTACAATCCCTTGTTTTAACCCAAATTTGGGTAGAATATGGGCAAACCCAAATGTTGGGTTAAAAATGTAATTTCAAATTTGAACCCAACTTCAACTTTCACTTTCAACTGTATGTTTTTTTTAAATTGCATATTAACCCAACAAGTCCATATTTGACCCAAATTTGGGTTGAAACAACCCAGCATTTTTTAGAGTGTACCATTAGAAAAATATGAACCTGTATTAGAGTAATGAGAATATAAACAGAATTCCAACCGTAAAACATCGAAAGGAATTAGATGGGAAAATGTGCATTATTATATGCAAAATATAACTTTTTTTAGGGCTGTGCAACGATTAATCGTGATTAAGCTCATCCAAAATAAAACTTTGTGTTTATATAATATATGTAACAGTGTATAATTATTTTGCTTGTATAAATACACACACATGCACACTCTAAAAACTGCTGGGTTGTTTGAACCCAAATTTGGGTCAGATATAGACAAACCCAAATGTTGGGTTAAAAATGCAATTTAAAAAAAAACGTACAGTTGAAAGTGAAAGTTGGGGTAAATTTTTAACCCAACATTTGGGGTTTGTCCATATTTGACCCAAATTTGGGTTCAAACAATCCAGCATTGTTTAGAAAACATGTATATTTGAGAAATATTTGCATTTACTATATACTGTATATTATATATAAATATAACACATTTTTCTTAAATATATGCATGTGTGTATTTATACAAGCCTAATTATTTAAACAGTTCACACATTTATATTACATAAACAAACTTTTATTTTGGATGCGATTAATCGCGATTAATCGTTGCACAGCCCTACTTTTTCATACAAAGACAAACATTTATAATATTTTACAATTATGGCACATTTTAAAAAACATTTGACTGAAAATGAACATCACGCACAGGAATACTGTTAGCAGAAGGAGATGGAAATGTCAATGCCATTTATGCAGCATTATGTACGATTTTATTTGACTTCTTCCTTTTGTAAATCCTCCTAATAAATCTGTTGACTTTTGGAGCATAACATGGATTAGAGCGGATTATCAACTGCTGAAATCCTATTTGAAGCGCTCTACAGCCGAGCAGTGAAATTATAGAGATCAGCAACAGAGGTAATGCCAAAACACAAAATCCAGCGCAACAAAAGCAAATGAAATCCAGCGCTGAAGAACATTACTATTTACACCAGATAAACACCTTGTTAGTCCAAAGCGCTTCGAGAGAACGTATATAACCTGAATATTACAACAGCATTCAAGGCTCTTGTGTCTGTGGTAGAATGTGGTCATATTGATTCCTTCTGATATAATAATCACCCGGTTCTGACACATTAGATTGGCATTTAAGTCAACCGGAAATGTCACTTTAATAACATCTATTAAGAAAGTAAAAAGGGTCCATTTTGATTTAAGTCATTCCATGAGGAAAGACTATAGTTTTCTGAGGGACACTAGCGACCAAAAGTTTGGAATATTTACGATTTTTTAATGTTTTCAAAAGAAGTCTATTACACTCTAAAAAATGCTGGGTTGTTTTAACCCAACTTTGGGTCAAATATGGACTAACCCAGCCGTTGGGTTAAATTTTTACATTACATTTTTAACCCAACATTTCGGGTTTGTCCATATTTGACCCAAAATTGGGTTAAAACAACCTAGCATTTTTTAGAGTGTATGCTGACCAAGGCAACATTTATTTGATCAAACACACTCATATTTTTCAATATTAAAAGAACTTATTTATACAGAAATACATGTTAAAATTTATTCCTGTGATGAAATCTGAATTTTCAGCATCATTACCTTCAGGAATCACTCTAATATGATGATTTGCTGCTCAAGTATTATCAATTAGCAGTGCTCAATCATTAATTAAAGTTCGGGTGCGCATCGGGTGATGCATTTTTTCAAGATTCTTCATTGTTTTTGCATTTATTTGAAATTGAATCTTTTGTAACATATAAAAGCGTTCGTTTCTTACTACAAATAGTAGTGCATCACAAATCCCACAATAATATGGAGCAGCACAATTGATTTCAACATGTATAATAAGAAATGTGCAGCAAATCATCATAATGATTTCACATCTCATTTTCATTTCCTAATTTCTTAAAGGGATAGTTCACTTTGAAATTAATTTTCGGTATGTTTCAGCTTACCTCAAGGGCATCCAAGATGTTTAAATGTTGATATTTTTAGGTCAAACCGTTCTTGTCCATCAGTCATATAATGGAGGTCTATGGCCACCACCTCAGAGCATGCACAGAGAAGTCCAAATTAAACATGATTTAATGACTCGTAAATGTAAGTACACATCGATGGCTTAAGACACGAAACGAGCGGTTTGTGTGAGAAAACGAACAGTATTTATATCGTTTTGACCTTGAGGTAAGCTGAAACATACCAAAAATGAATTTTAAAGTGAACTATCCCTTTAATATACAACAATATTATTGATGTATGTTGTATGAGAACTGAACTCAGCTCGATGATGAACTGACTGCAGCCGAAATGCTTTATAATCAGTGTTGGGTAAGTTACTCTAAAAAAGTAATTAATTACTAGTTACTAATTACCTATTCAACAGTGTAATTAGATTACTGTACTAATTACTCTCTCTAAAAAGTATTTAATTACTTTTAATTACTAATTACTTTCAAGATCCCATATCAATCTCAACCATGGTGAATAATACAAGGATAGACATGAATCTGTTTTAATTCTTTCAAATAAATACTATAAATTGCACGAATTATCCTTAAACTGACCAAGGTGGAGAAGGTTACATTATAAAAATACTTTTTAGCATCAGACAATACATTTTGATGTTAAACCCACTATTGTTTTATGTCTGATCTCATGACATTTCACACTTTTTTCATACATATTTTACAATAATC